TGAGAATATCCCGACCTGTATGGGTGGACTTCTCGTTTTTTGTAAAAGAAACTTGAACGTTCTTAAACCTTGACCCCAACTCAAAATTCAGAGATGCCGACTTGATCGCGGACAAGACTTTGCTATGCTTACGTGACTATTCCGCCCCTAGATGTACGTACAGTAACGAGTTTAGCGGTGGCTTGAAGTCACTCCTAGTGACCACACCGTATCACTCATCATTTGATAGCAGTTCATAGACTTCTAGAACCACGCAAAAGTCTGAAACTTTTGTATCTAGGTACTAAAAATTACAATCCCGGGCCGAGGTGACCCGTTTGCACCTTCCGCTAGAACCGGCCGCATCCGAGCGTGTTGGCATGGCACCTTCCTGAGTTACCGCATGAACACCAATCACTCCTTCCCGCCCACCTAACGCCCACAAATATTCTCTTTTTCGAAATTTCTCTCAGCCCCGTTAGAAATTGGACCTGGACTGACGCTCTTAGTTTGGGTTATGCTTGGAGGCCTTTGGTCTGACGCACACTAACAACTTCGGCAATGTTCGGATGGCTGGGAACACTGTTTCCTGGGATACTATGTAGGTACGATTTCTCAAAGGGGAGGTGAGTTCACTTTGGGCAAATCAAGACGGTACAGGAATACCGGAATGGATGGTTAGAGCTGACCGCCGGTCGTGCAGGTGTGTTGGTTCATCCTAGGACCCGTCACCCATCCACCGCCACGTACGCATGCGCCGTTACATGAAGATGTCAACGTCACATCTGCTGCATGAAACCTGAATACCTACGGTAACCACTTGGCGAGAGACTAAGATGACTCACAGTCAGAGAAAACCGCCCTATTATTATGCAGGTCGGAAACACCTGAAGCAGTTGGAGCGGGGGGCCGCTTAGCGAAGCCTACTCGCGTATGCCGTCCAAAAAGAAACGGGAGACAACAAGCTGTGGGGAAATATGCGTCTTTCTAAGTGATTGAACAACAAACAAGCGTGCAGCTTGTCCAGATGCAAAAGGCTGGGCGAACTGGACAATGACTGGCTGGGCGACCAGCATGAAGGCGCAGAACCGACCCAACAATTTCAACACTACGCCAACAACGGTACACAACAGATAACTGACTGCCACAAACAAAGTCCGGCCAGTCAGCGGCATTGAAAGGGGGAAAGGTGCGAGGGAGAAGAGGGGAGGTCTCGCGGAAATTCCTTCAACGAGACTGGGGCAGCGCGCTCGATTTCGGGCCTTCCCCCGTCCACCCCTCCCATGGCTATGGTCAACGTGGCGGAAAACGAGGCGTTCAAGGAGGATATATCACACACCGCTGATGTGGTTTTCTGTAGGAGGAATCTGGGTGCCACAGTCTTGCAGTAGGCGTTCCTGTATCCGCACGCGCCACTGGTTCTCTCTGGTGAGAAGGAGGATGGGTTGTTGGGTTGTTCCATCCTGTGAGGAGTTTGTCGACCAGGAAGAAGCTTGAAAAGGCCAATCCAATGAGTATCGTGTGGCGTTGGCTCTCACCAAGGTAGTTGAGGGCCGGGATTATTTGGCGTTGAGGACGTAACCTCCAGACTTCAAGAGAAATGGGCTTTCGAAAGGAGCGGGAGAGGGATCGAGTGGCGGCTATTGAGGAGGGAAGGTTGGCTAGGTAATCCAAACGGCACCACCCCAACGACTCCTCCAAGGCGGCAAAGCGGAGTCTCGTCCTTTAATCGTTAGACGCTGATGTTGGACATGGGGACAAGCGTCGACGTCCTCTAAGGGCCGGCGCGTTCTGACGGCACTGAGGTCGCAATCAGGAGCAAGGATGTATGATGAGAGACGGAGGTTTATGTCGAGGAGCGAGGTGGCTGATATCCGGCGGATCCTCCAAGGTTCTACCACCAGGGCTTGGTGGACACACGCCAACAACTCCCACAGGAGCCGCCGGAAGGAGACAATGCACCCTAGTTTGATTGTTGAGCGCGACACCCAATGGAGAGAGGGGCCGACCCGTTACCTGACCTTTACGGTGAGTGCTTCTTCGCATGGTGTTTATGGTAGGAAGATCTCCAGCCAGTAGTTATCGCGAGATTCCTGAATGCATGGAAGGCGGGCGACAAACGAGGGAGGGGGAAACCCACGCGGCTGCCCATGCAGACCGTGTGGGAGGAAGGCCATCCTCCCTCCCTCAATAGCGGCTACCGCAACGCTGAGCAAACCAATAACTTACCTGCTGGCAGATATTAGGGTTGCATGTGCCCAGACTTTGTCAACATGATGATGCAGGGACTCGGGAAAACCCTCATAGTGGCTCGTGGACAACAGTTCAGGAAACTGCGTAGGATCTAATTATCCACGTAGTGCCATGCATGGCGCTTCGCGAGTAGGCACCTTGACAAGAAAGGTGCAATGCAGAGAGCAAGACATCTGATTGACCTCGTGGGCGTCGAGAGGGAGAAGCAAGCAACAAGCCGCTGACATCGTCTCCCAGCCTCCAAAACTGACGGTGGGGGCCGCAGAATAGGCCGGCGCTCTGGACCAGACAAGCGGAAGCGGTGTTACCGGGGAGACAGGCGCGCGCTCTACCCTCATGTTATATTTTTCAGGACCACGATGCAATTCCGGAGAGGCCGATGGTGAGCCAATGGTTGAGTGGTTGAGTGATCGATGGCGGCAACATACGCACGCGAGCCGGATGAGGTTGGGTGAGGTTGGAAGCGCCAACCAACCGATGTCCCCTGAGGCCAGACTGGACCTGCAGGCGCGTCAACAGCCGCGCGCAGGGTGTTGGTCGCGGCTCATGTTGGGGCCGCAGAGTTGCGGCCTGGGGAGTGGGATTAAGCGCGGGCGAATAGCCACCACTGGGTTGGGTTTGGCGAGGGAGCCGGGCGACGGTCTGGGGTTCGGGGAGCCGCAGATGCAACTCCAAGGCGCGCGCTCTATCGAAGCATCCACCCGGCATGGCGGTTTGACGATGGTGTGGCCAGTAGGCATGACTGGTCGTGGAAGCCATGCAGAAGGTTACCCGCCCAGCGGTCGAGAAGGTGCAGTTGGAAAACGGCGGCTAGGCGCGCCCACGCCGACTGGTTGTATGCGAAAAACATACCACGCAGATATCCACTTGACGCCCTCTTTGCAAAGACATATATCATGAGCTGGACGTCCCCAGGTTGAACGAGCCAAAGCTTTGATCTCCAGTCTCCAGCTTCAACTCCAGCACTCCCAAGATCCCCCCCGCGCTCCACCAAACCGGTAACCCTCTTGATTCACAGGCCGGACCCGTGATCACATCTTAAACTTAATTTTAGAGCTCCGGGAGCCTTCTCTTTTCACTCTTCGCCAAGCGCCATCACTGCGAGGTCACTGCACTTTTTTAGCAAAGTTCCCCGCGTCGTCGCCCCGATCACATCGGCATTCGACCAACAACAGTTCTTGCTCCCTGTTGTTTCTATTCTCGATTTCCGGCATCGCCGCTCTCTTGTGCACCCACGCAGCAAGAGTCGAGTTAATTGTCGTTTTGAGCAGTCGTCGTGGTACGTTGAGGAGTGGGAAGTCGTGGCCAATGAGATGAGTCGGCGAAGCCTGGTGCTAATAATAAGACCTTTAGCGCCCATCCCTGTTGAGCGCCGACGCAATACGGCCAATCACACCTGAGAACCCCCTTCCAGCGGTTGAGCTGCCGACGCCATCGCGATCCGTGGCCTTGTGGCTCGTGGCAAGCAGCGAGCATCATCCACAGTGCTGGGCCCGGCGCCTGTTTCTTGTCTCTCCTGTGTCTGCGAATCGGAAATCGTGTTCTCCATTCGGCGAGTGCGGGAGTTTCCTGAGTTTCCCTCACTTTTCTTTCTCTACCCCTGCCCATTGGCAAATTAGCCCGCTTGAATCGCTGCATTGCTGCATCGCAACTCCTTCGGCCCCGGCCCAGAAAGACAACAAATCCCCGGCACGGACATCTCCATCTCTGTCTGACTCGGCGGCACGCCATATTGCGCCCTGTTAAGCGCTCAGTAAAAGCAGGTCGTCCCTCGTAAGTGCATATATTTTTATTTGTCTCATCTCCCCGCCCGACCTGATCCTTGGTCGAGCAACGCCGTGTCGCCTATTCCCCCTCGGGAAGAGCGCCTTTTCCAAATAGGAACAGCGGAGGAAGAGCTCAGCGGAAAGAAGAGGCAGCAACTGTGCTCGTGGAGGAGAAGGAAGCTGGTCGACGATGCGGGCAGCAGCACACTGCATCCCGAGTCACATCCATCCCTCTCAGCACACGCTCGCTGCCGCCAGACATCCCTGTCTAGTGATCGCTTCTCGCTTGTTCGAGCTTCCCCCCCTTCCACCCCACACAGCCTAGCCTCCTGATTTGCCGCCGCTCCTCGTTCCTTGCACCCCCCTGATGAACGGGGGTGTGTGGTGTGTCGCCCAATCCTGGCCTGCACTGCAATTGCTTCTTCACATTTCACACATCGATTTTCCCCAAGGACGCCCCCAGCGTCAAGCCAGCCACTGGGTGTCAAGGCATCCTCCAAGCAAGTCACGGTTGGGCTAACGGGCTCGGTTCTTCCCTTCCACAGAAAACAGCAGTTCTGATCACCAGCATCACTATCACCTTCACACTTCACAGCATCAGCCGACGTCCGCCCCCACTTGGTTTCGACGCGGCCCGATTTGTTACTCGCACACACCAGCGACAACCGACCGCTCTTGCGCTAACTGCCTTCGCGGCCCTAAGCCACGCCACACAAGGGCCCTGGTACGCCAGTCCAGTGTTCTGGGATTCAAAGAGACAGGGATCCCGCGCCAGGTACTTCGTCCGAAACCAGCCCACACAGGGAGTAGAGTGCTCAATCCTCCTCTCCTTGGAGCCTGGACCCCCTCTTGCAGTCCACCCGGATCATATATTCATTACCTTTCCACTCACCCGCCCGCTCACACCTGCTTTCCCCCCTTCCCCCTCTCCACGGCCGGATTTACCCTCAACTATCCGCCCCGACAACGCACTCCCTCACCAGGACAGACAACTTGCCCAAGATGTCGACCCGACCAAGCTTGAGGGTGTCGACACCCCTTACCGCGAACTTCCCCAGCATCCCGCCGTCGGCCTCGGAGCTCCGGTCTGCCGTATCACTGCCCTCGGCCGTTTCCAGCAACACACCGCTGTCCGCCATCTCGCGGACCTCGGCCTTCCGAGACCCAATCCCCACTTCCGGTCTTCCTTCTGCTGGGCTTCCTTCCGCCGGACCCTTTAGCGCAACGATCAAGCTGGAACATGAGCTCCAGAAGACTCCCATTACGCCGCCCGTTGCGTATCTGGACTTCCTAAAGGGCATGACATTGGTCTCGCCATGCCTCGCCTCGCCACCGCAGACTGGGAAGTCAGCCCTCAACCGGACGAGCACCACTAGTACCACGAGCAGCACGAGCAGCGCGCGTAGCAACGAGAGCCTTGACAGCACCACAAGCACCAACACCGAGCCCGAAGAAGAAACCGACAATGGCAAGGGCGACACAGAAACCGAGGGCGCGCCGTCCACAGCACGGACCGATAGCAATGGGAGCAAGGAGAAGGACGGGGACAAGTCCAAGAGCTCGAAACCCGCGCCAATAGACACCAAGAAGAAGCTTGCGACAACCCCCCGCAAGGTCCCCGAATGCCCCATGTCTGCGCCCCCCGCCGGGACTGTCTTCCCTAGCATGAAGCTGCCCGCCTCGCCAGCCGTCACCACCGCCGGCCTGTACTCCCCACGATCGCCGCTCAGCGGTGCCTCCGTGCGCTCCCACTTCGACTGGGAGGCCGCACTCAAGTCAAGGCGGTTTGCCGAGACCCCCGGCGGATCCAAGCGCCCCGCGGCGCCCGAAACACCAGGCCTTCCCGTTACCGCCGGCACACCATTGACGCCAGGTGGTCACAAGCGCTCCAGCATTCGGCATATCCGGGAGGTTGTCACGCGCACTGTCACTTACACGCCAAGGATGGCGCCCGCGCCCAAGGGTAAGAGGAGGAAGATTGACGCCGAGACGGCCGTTCAGTCGTGAGGTGCATGGATATAAGGACGGGCAAAAGAGGGAACCCATTGAAGAGGCGAATGCCAAAAGAACAAAATAACTCGCGTACATAATACCCTACTATCTTCCTATCTACCATTACTACCCAGCGGTACTGGTTTACCGCGACACACACACCCGCTACATAACAACACACGCCACCTAACCAGGCTGGCGACACACAAAGCACCGTCTCTTTTGTCTCAAAGACCGCAAGATACACACACAACAACACACACTCGAGTCTCGATATCTCTCTTACAACACACTAGCATTTCATTTTTCACCACAGGATGGGGGAGGTCCTAGGGACGTGTGGCGGGCGAGACTTGGATTTTGTATTGGGTCTTGAATTTTTGTACCGGGGGGTGTTGGGATTGCAAAGGCACGGCGTTCGTTGCAAAGGATTGGGATTTGGGGCGCATCATTTTTAGGGCATGGGAAAGGGATGGGAGGAGGTGGTAGGTCTAGGGAGGGCGAACGGAGGGGAAGAAGACGTGCAAGGAATCAGTTTCGATACCACCATCGCGATGAAGGCAGGGAGGGATAACAAGGGAGGGGGGGAGAGAGAGATATATTATGGGGCTCGCTCCGAAATTCTGACTCCCCCACGGTGCTCCCAGTAGGGATTTTTACTCGGACATTTATTAGCAAACTCCCTTGCGTGTCAGTCAATATTACTTGAAATCCTTCCATTTTGGACAACGTTCTCGTGTGGTCTCGTGATGTAATGAGTATTATTTCCCCCTCAGCGGTACAACCAGCTTGCCTTCCATTCTTGTTGACCGACCGCATGTTTTGTTTTTCTGTTTTGTTTGTTTATACGAGATCATGTTTTACGAGATCTACGACCTAGATGTACACTTGCTTCCCGTGATCGACGACCCGGCCGTTCTGCGGCCTGTTCCAGCGGCCAACCCCGTTACTATACCATACCTACCATTGTGTGATTTATTACGCCCATTTTGTTTCCATGGCCCCCGTCATACAACGTTGAGAACCGTTTACATGGTACAAACTTGTGCAAAAACCAAAACAAAAAAATGATTTTGACGGCGATCATCAAGGTAAGGCGGGGTCGATAGTTTGTTTGTTTGTTTGCAACTCCCCTTTTTCCTTTCGACGGTGTTCGTCCCGCCCTTCTCTTGCAGCACCGGCTGATCTACATCTCACGTTGGTTGGACCGGACCGAAGACGGGTGTGTGTCCGTGGTGTGTGTCCGTGGTGTGTGTGTGTGTGTGTGTGTGTTTTTCCGATCTTGGCCCCCGACATATGGCACAGTGTGCGAGATGGGAGGCACTTACACCGTCAGGGCTGGACCACCATCATCAAAAAAAAAAAAAAAGTTCACCAACAGCATCAGAGAACATGCGGAAAATATGTACTGTATGCACATGCAGCCACGGAATGACATGTTGGACGAGAAGAAAAAAAAACAAAAACAGTTGGGCTTGAGACCGCCCAAATTCGGGATTCTTGCACCCTTCGGAGTAGTGTAGGTAGGATTTCCATGTAAGTCAGCTGAGAAAAGAAGATGAACTCGGTCCTCCGATCTCACAAATGATCACTTCCACATCACCCTCGCCCTCAGGAGGAAGACACGCGCGCGCACAGGCGCATGAGCGAGCAAGCGTCCAGAAAACAGACAGACAGACAGGCCAAAAAAAAGGAAAAAAAAAAGAGACATCCTGTCAAGCGACACGCCCACCAGACCCCTCCCGTCATTCCCCCAGAACCCGTTTCGCGAGGTCGCTCCCTTGAGGCCCCCAACCCGAACCGCCCTAGCGCGCTCCCGCCCGCATGGTCGACAACCATCCGCGCCATACCCCAGCCGGGCGGCCCCACCCTCTGGTCCCTGACTGGCTCGCCCCATCAGTTTTAAGCGCCCGTCCCCAACCCCCGACATGTGGGCCCCCCGCCAGGTCCAACCAACTGAGCCCAAACCGAACCGACACGCCCACCTTTTGCACACACACCCTACCCCCCTTCCTGGCTCGCCAATCGCGCATGTTCCACCCTGGGCAGCGAAAGGTGAACTGGGCCACGGACGGTGCGCGCGCGTGTGTGTGTGTCGTCACTTGCAGGTCTGCAGGTCGCGGTGCGCTTGGGATGTGATTGGATGATGACCCCTGGAGAGGGGGGAACAGAGTTGTTACTTGTAAGCGCCCGTTCGGTTTTGTTGAACCCTGGCAATTGTTTCTTTGTCTCTTGTCGTCCCGTCTCTTTTGCTTCATCTCTGCCTGCTGGGGGAAAGGGGAACCGATGAGAGGGAGATGAGAGGATAATTTGCCCACGATGGCCGAGTGAAAAAAACATAAAAAACAAAACAAAAGAGGGGGTGTTGTTTTGCTTCAGAGGGCAAATTCCCGGAACCAGTGGATATCGGCGCATCTCCCTGTACGAAGGAACACGCTTTTCTCAAGCACTGGCTGAACCACTTTCTCCCGTTCACTAGAAGCCCACCAAGAACAGACACTTCCCCTCCTGCCAATGAGACCGGCAATGGATGCCTTGCACTCATCACGCTTCCTGCTTCCTGCTTGCTGCACCTGCCCTGCAAGTTCCTCGATGTCGGCCGCTGTCTCGCACATTGGCTCGGCGGGGCCTCTTGGTCTGTCCGGCCGGCAGGCAAAATAACAGAGAGGCGCCCATAGCATGGCACATGGATGCTCTTCTCGGCTTGAGGTGAAAGCTGTCGGTGTGTGACCAGTTGCGTTGCAGGGCTGATGTTCCATTCGGTCGACCGAGCCACACCTCGGAGAGGCCGGCAGCAACACTGAGACGAGCGCTGCTGATTGGTAGCAGGCCACATGTTTCTCTGCCGACGTGGCAACCGGAATCATAAAACAAATTACGACTGTGGTGAGCTCAGGCAGGAACACGGGCGAGAAAGCTCAGGGAGGCATAAAACATGTTTTCGCTTCGCTGGTGTGTCGGACTCTTGGCCGCGGGTATGAAACATCGAGGGTGTTCAGTGTTCCCATCTCAAACCGTGGTGCCCCTGAACTCCTGAAGAGCGTACGTCCACGTTTCGAAGGCCTGCGGAACGTTTCGAAACAACCCGTCCTGGGGTTGCTCTAAATTTGGAGGGGTCTAATTTCCTCCCGAAATTCCACGTGCGGTGTGGTGACATTCGAATTGCAACAACCCGTGAGTGCTCTTCGCCCCCTGCTTGCAAAGATGAGCTGGACGAACTTCCTGGTGGAACGCACAGCGCGGTCGGAATGGAAGCTGAGGTTGGCTTTTCTAAACCTCGGAACTTGAGAGGTTCGGAGATGAGGATACTATTCTGAGCGTGCATCGGCTGGTTGGGGCGAACCAGACACCACCGACTTACCAGAGCAGCTTCATGAAAGTTCCTGAATCAACCTGGACGCACCTCGCGTGCCACGGCATTGCACAGCGCAACGCGTACTCCCGCCCCAGTGAGAACATTGATCCATAGACGTTGCGTGTCGCTAAGCCGGTCGTTGGCGCTCTTGACTTCCGCAAACATGACTTCCCCACTTGGGCGGTCGCCATTGCCGTTGGCCTCCTGCTCATCTTCGTGCGTCCGCCAGAGAATGAGATCCGGGACACCGCCTCCTCGAGCCTTGTACTCCTGGGCGAAGACTTTGCACACGGCCGCGAGTGCGCCGCCATCAAAGCAGGTCACCAACTCAGCGAGGTCGTCAATTCCAAAGTCCCAATTCAGCCCCACAACACACGTCTTGCGTTCGTGTTCCCGCTCGTATACCTCCCGGAGAATCCTAGTGGCCCCGCCGTTGGCGATTTCGACAAGTCGGTGGTTGATTTGACTCGCCCGGGCCGGGTAGAAGGCATCGGTGTGTAGGTCCAGCGGGCACGTTTGGAATGCTGTCTGGAAAACGTTTGGGATGTAGACGAACAAAACGTCGAAGAACAGGTAGGCAAAGAGCGTCCGTAAAATACCGCCCTCGCTGTGATAGCCCTTCCAGCCTTGGGTGCGATAATGTGAGAGACACATCTCTTCAACGCTGACCTCAAGAGGCCGACCATCCTCGCCCGGATCACCTAGCTCGTCCAACCATAGCGTCTTCGCCCCAACTTTCCCCCTTAATGTCCCCTCATCTCGCACCACCTGGATACCACCCACTGTGTGCTCTTCCGGCTCTCGTAGTTTCACATGGCCAAAGTCATGCTGGAGACGACGAGGGACCCGTAGCTTCTTCTCAAGTTTGACGAGGCGTTTTTGAAGGTCGTAGTGGTAGATGAGATGACAATCGCGATCTTCCAAGGCGGTTTCGCAGGTCGTCACGGCGATGCGCTGCCAGTGCTTTTTTCGAACCTCAGGGTCAACCGACACCGGGTCCGGATCCGCTTCCCACATGTACCGCTCCTCAAGCAAGGCCCTACGTTGATACCAGTAGCCGCGGCGAGCAGGGTGAAAGAGGTGCTGGCCCAGAAGCTCAGTGAGCAGCTCGTGTTCCTCCTTGTATTTGTGCAATCGGCCGAGGATATGGGCAGTTTTGTGCGCGATCCGAGTGAAGGCGTGACCCGCATTGAATCGACGGAGATAGCCTCCTTCGCCAAACTCGTACACATGGTCCTCCCGGTCGTTTTCCTCTTTAATAAGCTCTCGCCAGCGGGGCGCTATGCTGTCAAACACTTCGAGGACCTTGCGGAAACCTTCTTCGCCGGGTGGCCCATTGAATTCCAACACGCTATCAACGTCGAATTCTTTTCTCATGGACAGCTCAAATTCAAGAAGATGCCGGCGCGAGGCGAAGATGTTGGTTGACCTGCACACAATGTAGTCCGGATAGTTTCTCCTAGCAACCTTGGCCAAGATGATCGTCGTGAGCGACTTCTCAGACCACTCAGTCGAGCGGTAAAACACCAAATGCACACGCTCGAATAGTTTGAACACGGGTTCTGATATTCGAATCAAGTGACCGGTTATGGCGAAGATTTTGTTTAAGAAGTGAGCGTTCCTATTCGTGTCATTGTTGTTCTCGTCGCTGCCTGATCCGGTTGAGTTATTCGTACTTGATCGGCGAAGGCCAACGGCCATAAGACCCGACTGTTGGGTACTGGCACGACAGAACGCCTTGGCAAGTTCGCCCTTGTTTTTCCCTTGGACTTTCGCCTCCTTAGCTAGTGCCCGGAGTTCGTCGAGACTTAGTAATGAAGTGGCTTCCTCTATCGAGTCGATGGAGGAGCCGGAATCATCAATAAAGCAAAACTCGGTCCCCAACTCCCAGCTTTGGGAGCCTTCGAACTCATAGTCTGGCTGGGGGTTCACATCATCAGGCAATGGCCGGGACTGGAGTAAGCATCCAATGGCCAGAGGCATGTCCGAGATGTCGCTATGGTACCCAAGTCGCTCGGCTCGATGCCACAAGGCGGCCTTGCGCAAGAACAGGCGCACATACCTGAGCGAGTTAGACAAACGTTGCCAACGGGAAGGAGTAGATAATCTCACAGGTACTGAGCCTCATAGCTTAGGTCCCGCCACTGCGCAAAAACACATTTCTCCTTGTCGTCAAACAAATGCGACTCATTATCTAGGACGGTGTCAAGTGCCAGGTTAAAGGCGTCAACGTAGATGGAGCTCTTCCCCCGGACCCACTTCCGGCTGTCTATCCGCGATGAAGCCTTTTCTTCTCCGTCATCCTGCGACAATTGAGACGCCCGCATAGCCTCATACTCTTTAATTGCCTCCTTGTCGGTCGCAATTGCGGGGAGGGAATTTTCAAAGGCCGTCTGGTGCTTCGGCTGTATTGCAGCGCCCTCCTCAACATCTTGATCTAAAGGGTTCTTGCCGGGCGTGTGTGATTCGAGAACCGCAGAGTCATCCTCGCCAGCACCTAAAGAAACCGGCGTTGGGTTTTCATCTTCTTCGCTGTCCCTGGTCTCAACCAGTCGAGCTCTTTTCCTCGGCGGTTCTGCGACGCCCAGGTCTGGTTTGGGAGAGCCTGAGGTCTGGCCGGATGTGGAATTTGTAGATAGCGGGGGAGGTTTGTCTTCATTTCTGGGCCTAGTTCGCTGGATGAAGCGGTCCATTATGGATGATCACAAAACCGACAGCAGTTGGACAGGTCCATTTTGTCACTCCGCTGTTTGTAATGAGAAATCTGAAGGTTCCAGGCAGAAAAGGCCCATGAAAGAAAGCGCGACGGCCCCTTTCCCCTTTGGACGCGACATCCCGTGATTTCGTGTGTCAAGGTGGGGCAATATGTGGGGCACTTTAACAGCTCCTTGGGTCGAAGCTTCAACCCAGAGCAATTCGATCGTGATCTTAACAAAGGTCGCGTGGTGAACACGCCAAATTGCCATTGTGCGCCACAAACTTGTCGGACAACGTACCCGCCCCCCAAAATCCAGCAATGGAGAACTCAGAGGTTAAGTCAGAGGCTGTCAATGGCATCGAGCCCGACGACGCCGACGATGTTTCCATGATCGATATACCCCCGCAAGACCCGGTATGTTCTCCCCGCTTGACCTCGCCCACGCCCGGCCCCCCAGACACCCGGCTGCTTCACTCGCTCAAAGAACCATTGTGCGGCGGTTGCACTTCTTTCTTCCCTTTCAAATCGCCCAACCGTGACCCAAAAGCTGACCACCCTCACCAACCCAGCCCCAACAATCCCCATCAATAGCCACAACACCAGCAGCAGCCGCCACCGCAGCCGCCGCTCCCTCTCCGCTCCCATCAGCGCATATCCCGACACCTGTACCTATCCCAACGCCCGGCCAGCAACAATCACAACAACCTCAAGTCCAACAACAGCAACCCTCGTCGCGCGCGACGTCGCAACATCCAGACACCATGCCTCCCTCCGCGACAGCGGCCGCAGCGACTGTTGCGGGGGGGTTTACCATGCCTTCGGAAGCGACGCCGAATGGTGCGCCGGTGCGCCAGTACCTTAACAGCAAGGTTACGGTGGTGTTGTTGGAGGGGATGAAATTGGTCGCGAAGGAGCAGTGAGTTTTTCTTTCCTTTCCATCCTTTTTTTCCCAGGGGATTTTGGGATTGTCATTTGGAGGGTTGCGCTATTGGATGACGGGCGACGGGAGGCTGGGGCGCAACGCAACGCAAAGAAATTGAGGCTTGTATTTATGCTAACGATTGGATTTTGTGCTAGGCCGAGGGATCCATTACGAGTGTTGGGCGAGTTTCTATTGCAGAGGAGCAAAGAGTTGGAGGGAAACGAGGGTAGCTCGTAATAGTGACCCAAGGTTGAGAGGGTCCGTACGGGCATAACGGGCTGCTAGGAATGAGAGCTGTTGAGGCCATGAAGACGGGTATATGTGGCGTAACATGGGGTTATGTGGGCAAGGTTTCGTAGAACATGGAAACAGCTGGCAAACATGGAGTTAAAGGACATGCAGGCCATGAGGTACCATCTCAGACCAAAAATATGGAAGATAGAGGGGGTAATGCATTGCATTCGTATCCTCTCTCATCACTACTACTCAACCCCTCGCATTATCTTGTTCATCATGCTCGGGGAAGGCAATAGACTGCGCTTATTGCAGTGCTCTAGAATGCAAGTTTCCTTTCCATTCCCCAAACTCCAGTGGCCCAAACCGGGGCTGCGGACGGCGACACAGCGGCGGGGCGAAAAGCTGCAAAAAGACACCAGATACCACCCCTTGACTCTGTCTCGCCGAACGGCCCTTTTTTCCTTTCCCAGACTCGCGGCGTGCCCCTCACATCAAACGACCCGTTTAGGCGACGAGAGTGCTGGCAGTCGAGGACTCGTACTTCCAGGTGGGGGGGAGGACACCGACGGTCTTGTAGTAACGGGCCAGACGGTGGATACGCGACTCAATGAGAATGAGGCGGAACTTGGAGTCCTTGTCCTTGCGGTTACGCTCAAGGTGCTTGCGGACGGCGACAGCCTGGGCAAACAGGTCAGCTTGGGGGCTCCAGGTAAAACGTGGGAGTGGGGTGATGCATCAAAATGCAGCAGCGCTCCGCTCCATTGACGAAACGGGCGGACAGCTGAGAAAGGCTTACCTTCTTGATGAGCATGTACAGGTCCTCCGGGATATCGGGGGCAAGGCCTGTTCACACAAATCTCTCTGTCAGCCTGATGACCAAACAGAGGCGTAGTCCATCTCTTGTCTCATGGCCTTTCAAGTCCTACGAGTGCGAGCCGGCCCAAGCGGTCGTCCATCTCGGGACATTTCCGTGCTCGAGCGGCAGCATCATCGTGGATTGTTCTTGATGGTCCGTTTCTTGTTTCCCCAATGTTTCTTCAAGGAGTCGATCAATCCATACCGTTGCTCTTCAGGATCCGGAGAATCTTGTTACCTGTTCACAAGCAAAGTCAGCATTAACCGTTCCTTCAACCCCTCATCACACCTATTCAATTTCCAGCAGCCCCCCTCCTCCGCCCCGTGTTTCCTGATCCCAGAGAGAACGTACCGGTCACGATCTTGACCTGGGCAACGCCGTGGGAGTCACGGAGAATGACACCAATCTGCGAGGGAGTCGCGCCCTTCTTGGCGAGCTTGCAGATCTGGTCGACGACCTGCTCGGGGGTGGTCTTGAGCCACGCAGGCGCGGTGCGCGAGTAGGGGAGCGCGGAGGACGAAATGCCCTTTCCGTTGCTGTGAAGACGACCCATGTTTGGCGGTTGGTGTTGGTGTCGGGGGGGACGGATGGGTTTGTCGAAGAGATTCTGGCTGGTCGATCGTGAGGAAGGGACGGGGGCCGCGAGCGAAATTTCCGCTGGAGAAGTTCGAGATTCTGTGGGCGGAGAAATTGGCTAGGGTCGGATTCTGATTGGTTACAGCATTTGAAATTTGCACGTGATGGAAAACGTGACCACGTTGGGGCGCCAAGATTTCTTAGAGTGGGGCCTTGTCGCTGGTCAAAAGTGGGAAATTTTTCCAAGCAAACAAACTTCCACATTTGTTCGCGGAAGACCAACTCTCCAACGCGACCTTCTGCGGCCGGGTTTCGCTGCTGCCATGGAGTTTGCGATTTTGAATTGGTAGCCCAGATCTCGAGATGAGACACGTCTCGTACCGGTACCCTTGTGACGCCGTGAATACCTAAGGTAAGCTTTCACCCGGTTTCATTTCTCTCTGCCCAAGCCGTTTCCCTGATGATCTACAACCTTTACATTTATATTCTGGTACCTCTTATGTTAGGGTCCTTCGGGACTCGATGAATGAACTGGACTTCTGATAATGGCACACATACCTCATGTTTTCCAAGTATGTTCCCATAAGCAACCGCTAACGCGCTCACAGGTAGCTCCTCAGTGCCAATTGGTCGATTCTCCCATGGATACTCTCTCTTTTCTTCAGTTTCGTAAATAAATAGCATTGCAATGAACAGAACTTGTTTTGAATTTCCACCCGATCCCAAACAACCCGTGCAAACCCGTCCTATAATGAGCCCCGACACATGTCGACTTCTGATGCGGCGCAAATTGACTTCGTGCGATTGATAATTGTACATGTTACTTTGGATCAGTCGTTCGCAAGAATCATAACCTTCCGAATCACGGTTCCATGAGGACACCCCTGTTCCCTTTCCATTCCCCATGCCTTCCTCTCTCATCTGGCCCCTAAAACAATGGATAATCACCCGCTCAAGCCGCTCAAATTAGACCCCCATTACCAGGCATTCACGTCAAAGTTTTCCTATCCAAGGGTTAGCGGGGGGTAATGTGCGTCCAGAAGGGTCCAATCTTGCCTCTGGGAAGTACGTCGTGACGACAGTACGGTCAGCAAACTTCCTGCCGGCCAAGGCCTGTAGCGCTTTGGTAGCGGCTTCCGGCGTCTCGAATTTAATAAAAATCTTCCCAACACCGGCGGACTGCCTGCTCCCGCCGGCTGGTCGCGGGATCTTGATGGAAATAATGGTGCCAAACTTCTCGCACTCTTCCTGGACATCATCACGGATTTCTAGACAGTTGTTAGTCAAAGCCAGTCTACAAAGCCACTCGGTTTTCGTGAGTGGAGGAAGAAGCAACATACCCTCGTAATCATCGTTATCCATCAGCTCATCCGCCGTCACCATGTTCAACAGCTGAAGCACCCTGCCCGCGCCGGCGTCCGCTGATGTGGTACCGGCAAGCATGGACATGGCATTGACGCCCATCTCGCCCGATACCTGGGTGATACCAATGCTGGCCTTCTGGACCTTGAGCGCGCGCTCACCGAGCATCATGTTGTTGAGGCCCTGGATCGCAACGCTGGTGACCCCTGGATCAGTGTATTCGAGGAAGGCAATGCCCTAAGGGAAAGTTAGCTCAACCGTCTTGGATTCCCAGAGGTAGAAGAGAAGAAGGGGAAAAGCTTACTCTCGACTCTTCAGTCCCGTTATCCTTGACCAGAATAAAAGACTTGAGCTTGCCAAAGCTGACAAGCAACTCCATGACTTGGTCCTCCGTCAGATAGAGCGGCAAGTTAGTCACGCTGATCTTGTTCGGGCTGTCAACCACAATATTAGATGGCACGGTGGCATCCGGATCAAAGTTAGGATCCTCCACCACTGCGGGCACAATGTAGTCCTTCGGCCGGCGAATCTGCAAGCCCTGTGGGCCAGCGCCGTTGCCGTTGGCCGCGGGCGCATCGTCCGCCTCCATGGTGATACCATCCAGCGCCAACGCTACCGTCGCGTCCGTGTTGTTCCTGAACTCAACCATACCAAAGGTGTGATCGGGCGAGACATGTGCCTGGAGGCAGGGATCGGCAGCGTCGATGACGTTCAACCCATTGAGTTGGAGGTTGAAGAAGCTGGCTAAGCTGTCGTCGGTGGCCGATGGTGGGAGGTTCGAGACGATCAAACGTTTGCTCTGGCGGGAATTCGTGGGTTTGAGGGCGGAGTTGGTGACGGTGCCACTGGGCTGGTTCATGAAAGCCTGGAGCTTGGTGGGATCCATTGCTTGTTGCCGAGGCGCACCAGGCAGGGGGAACATGCCAGACAACTTGGCCTGCTCAGCCGTCACGTTGTCGTACCCAGGCGGCTTCAGATCCCATTGTGTCATGCGCCTCTTCCGATCGAGAACCGAAACGACGTCGGTGAGGTCGGGCGTTGGTTCGCGCTTCTTCGGGGGTGGCGACGCACTTCGCCGCCGTTCCCTTTCCCGTTCATGCTCCCTCTCACGCCTACCGCCCCCCGCGCGACGGTCGTCGAACAAGTCCCGCTCCCCGCGACGATCGCCACGCCTGTCGTCATCCTCCCGCCGATTCCTAGCCCCACGATCCCGGTCCCATTCCCTCTCACCCCGGTCGCCCCCCCGACGCTCTCGGCCCGAGTACCTGTCTTCCCGCTCGCGGTCACGGTGGCTTCGGCTAGAAGAGTAGGCGTCGACATCGCCGTCCTCGCGACGGGATCGGCCGCTGCGGTAGTCGGGAGATCGGGAGCGTCTACGGCCACCGCCCCGGTCGCGGGTATCACCTCGGTCGCGCCTATCGTCGCGGTCTCTCCTAGGCTAAAATGACCCAAGTCAGTTCCCGTTATTATCACAAGGTCAGATGGAGAGCAACTCACTGGGTAGTCGCGAGATGAGCCGTGGCGGCCTCCGTCTGCGTCGCGTCAGGTTAGCATCCATCAATTCGAATTCGTCGCGGAAAAGCTGACGTACCCCTAGAGGAATAGTTATCTCCGTTCATCGTCACTCTTGCGTATGCCGGATCAATTCGTGGTGAAGATGTGTCGAGCCGCAGGTTCTTGGATAGGTCGCGGGAACGTGACCGAAAGGCGCTTGACAGCGATCGCGAGGCTGGAACTTTTTTGGGGCGACATAGAATGCAGGTGCTTGGCTAGGCTATTCCGTTTCTGGTTTAGAGCCGTCTGGTAGGCTGCGCTGAAAGGGTGCCACTGAGATTTGAGTTTCAGTGGGTCGCCATTGCACTGGCCGAATCCAGAGCATTTTCCAACCACTGGACGGCACTGTCTCTCGAGTTTCTTGAAGCCCTCAAGTCCTGAGGTACATGTACCCATCATTCACTCGCTCCCAGACTCGGGTGTCTCTCTTTCTTTCCAGACTCGAAATTCGAGTATTCAGCCGCTCCTTAATACTACTTGTTACTTAATCTCCTGTCCTTCTTTTGCCGCGGCTGCGCAATGGCAGTGAAGGTTGCAGAATGGCGCAAACTGCCCCTGAGTCTCGCGGAGCTTTGCATTGACACAACTCTCCGCTGCGGTCGTAAGTCTAGTTATTTCCTGCGCAATTCTCACTTCCATTCCGCCCGTTCTTTTCAAATTTAGTAGATTAGGTTCGTAGATGAACAACGCGTTAACTCAGAAATAAGAATCATTTCGCTGGCGAAAAATTGACGGAGAATGGTGAGTGAGCATTTCACTTCCATTCGACCCGAGATCAGCTCACAAGTCGATACTGACATCAACCAGGCATTGTGTCCTTGGAGGCCGCATCATCTCCCTGAAGCAAGACACATCACATCTACATTATCGTGTGACCTGGCCCAAGACAGGCCCCAAGCCCACAATCACGTCGGCCCCATCACTCACTCACGGCATCACCTCACCGGAAGATGACACCGAGTCCCTCCTACGCAGTTACTTCGCTCTCTCGGTCCCTCTCTCCTCACTCTACAAACAGTGGGCGGCATCCGACGCCAACTTTGCCCGCCGCGCCCCGTCATTCACAGGCATTCGCATCCTAAACCAAGATGCCTGGGAGACGCTCATCTCCTTCATCTGCAGCAGCAACAACCACATCTCACGCATCAGCTCCATGGTACAGAAGCTCTGCACCCACTACGGTCCTTACATCGGCACCATCTCCGGCGAGCCGTTCCACGACTTTCCAGACGCCAAAGCCCTCTCAGGGGTCCAGGTACAAACCCACCTCCGGGAGCTTGGTTTCGGCTATCGCGCAAAGTACATCGTCGAGACAGCAGACATTGTCGCAAATCACAAACCGCCCGGGTGGCTCAACGATCTTCGCAATCCCGCCGTCCCGGCCTTCGACCAAGTGCCCTCTCCCTCCACCAATGCCACAGCTGAACCACCCATAACCACCACACCCAAACCCGATGATTCCAACCCACTAGTAGGAGACGCCAACCCCCCAGGCCCAGAATCACCCACCTACCGCGCCGCCCACGAAGCCCTCGTCACCCTCACGGGAGTCGGCCCCAAAGTCTCAGACTGCGTTTGTCTGATGGGCCTAGGATGGGGCGAGTCCGTGCCAGTTGACACACACGTGTGGCAGATCGCGCAGCGCGATTACAAGTTTGGCGGTGGCGGTGGCGGTGGTAAAGGGAAAACGAAGACGCTCAGCAAAACCATGTATGACGCCGTGGGGGATCATTTCCGCGCGATCTGGGGCCCTTATGCTGGGTGGGCGCAGAGCGTGTTGTTTACGGCGAATTTGAAGAGTTTTGCGGAGCAGGCTGAGGCTGGGAAGAAGAAAAAGACGACGAAAGGTGAGGAGGCGGAGGGGATTGTCAAGTTGGAAGATGGAGTTCTGGAGGAAGAGGTTGAGGGTGAGAGGGTGACGGCCGCGGTTGCTGTGGTAAAGAATGAGCAGTTGGAGGTGAACGAAGGCGTTAAGAAGGAGGAGGTAACCGTGTCTGTGGTAGAAAAGACAAGCAAGAGGGCGGTGAGGAAGAGGAAGTCTGTAGCTGTTGAGACCCAAGAGACTAGTAGGGGCAAGAAACGGGTCAAGACGGTGGAAGTTGAGGTCACTGCTCGCAGGACGAGTCAAAGGATAAGGGCCACACGGAAATAAGCTAATGTAATTTTATTCACCAACTGCAAAGACGAGCTGAAGTAATATATCTCCAATGATGCAAAGCAAGAAGGCCTCTCAATCTGCAAAATCTCAAGCATCAGCCGCGGTCCAATTTGTGATTGAAAGGGAGACGTCAAAATAAAAGAATGAAATGGAACAAAATGAATAACAGCCTTAATTTGACTGGAAAAAGTACAAAAAGCTCACCACAGAACCCTATCCCCGTCCGGAGGGATAGCGGTCTGTGGTTACGAAAAGCCCACTGGGGGGGCTTTTTCTTCGCTGGCCCCGGGAATCGAACCCGGGGCCACTTCGATTTACGACGAGAGTAGGCGTGGTGCTCCTCCCAATGCCGCTACGCCAAACATACTGTTTGGAGAATTGGGAGGAGCTGGTGACTGTTTTGCTGCGGGATCTAATATATATAGTGTGGGAGGGAAGGAAGGTACACGTTTGGGGCCGGCAGGACTTGGGATCGGATGAACCTCAGGCAACGCCGCCAGCACACAGGCAAGAGGCTGCATCTGTTGCCAACATGGGTAACGTGCGGAGAGGGTTGGCAATACAACAGAGTTGATGGTGATAGAAATGGCTGGGCTACAATGGAGGGGATCAGGCACTGCCAGTACCCCGAGTGTGTCCAGGGACTGCTTGTATTGGTGAGCTATAAACTCGTGACGGTGGAACAAGACCGTCAACATCAAACCCAGCTTTCTTACACCATCACCTCGCCGCTGCGGTTCCATCACCCCTGGTCAACAGCCCAACCTTCCATTCCTTAAACATGCGCTCGGTGGGTGGCAAAAGCCCGTTACTCGCTTCCAGATGTCGGATAATCTCTCGTCTGGCTGCCGCCGGCAGACAAATCTCTTGCGACTCGCAAGTCACACTCGCAAGCATCTTATCCGCGTCCTCCAGAGGCAGCGGTCGGTAAAGAAGTTTAATGGCTGGCGTGGATTGGGGAATGCCGCTGGAGGAATACACAATGCTACTGTTGAGTACCCAGATATGGATGGCCGATTCCCCTAGCTCAGGGCTGTCACTCTCGCCTGGCGTGACCCCGTCTGCGGCGGTTATCAAGGATTTTGAGGAGCCAGATCGCGAAATCGTTGAGATCAATGTGGCTGCTAGGCACTCTGGGATGCCGGGTGAGGCAGAGGAGATAGAGCTGCAGGAGACCTGCCACTTGAGCAGGGTGACCGCAGAGCTCCGGAAGTTGAAGAACCCCAGCTGGGTGCGGCAGCTTGAACAAAAGACGTTCAGGTTACGGGGTAATTTCGACGAATCGGTCTCCAGAGGTAGGCTTTGCCTATCCACGGAACCTTGGTCATAAGTAGAGAGGGAGAACTAACAAATAGGAGAAACCGTCAGCTACTGACTGACAAGAGGTTTAAAATAATTGGATTGTGTATGTCCCTCCATTAATCCCCGAGCATTCTCAACATACGAACGATCGGGCGGAAACCGGAGATCGGGCAATCTATCAGATGAAGCGATCCGTCCCATATAGGAGGTTCACATTCATTTGATAGCCTGAGTAAACAGGAAAGCTGCCAGTGACTTGATGTTGGGCATTTGTATCGGTATCCACCCCATTGAGGCGGTATACGCCGGCTTGGCTACCTTCTTGATGCCCCAGACAAAGATCTGAAGTGTCGCAGGCGAAGAGAGAAAAAAAAGATGGGGAGAAAGTGTGATACCACTCAAACTAAAACTTACCGTCAGGTTTCGGCAGTCGCTTTCTTCAAACAAAAATGTTGTCAAATCCACAAACCCGACACCGGTCTGAGCGGTTATAATGGAGGAAGCGCCGTACCCCCTCGCAGCAAGACTTGCTTCATCCGCCTTTCCGGTCCCATTCCCTTGGTTATGGTGATGATGGTCAGGCTTGTGACAATGCCAAAATTCCATCATCTCGGCCCAGTTCTCGCTGGGGAGATCTTTCCAAACCTTGACGGAGCCCTGCCCAACAATACCAGCGGTACAGTGTCTACAGGTTACACCGGAGCTCGGATCTAAATCGGTGGCCGACCAGGGTATCTGATCGACCTGATGCGCCTGCGGTGCCACCGCGGTATCGAGAAGGAGACGCCATGAGACTGATGTGCTGCCTTTTTGTTTGTCTTGGATTGGGAGCAGCGTGCTGCCGCGAGATACCTTGGCTGGCAGAACCAAGGAGCTTGTGATGCCGCGATGTTGGAGCTGGATCGTCCTGCAATCGGACGAGATGGAAATCTGGGTTGATGCATCACATGGCGAAGGTAGAGATGCGGCTAGGGAAATTTGGCGGATATTGGTGAGCAGCTCGGCGTAAAGAGCACAGTCGCCCGTCGTCATTTTGGTCGAACAGTTGAGAGAAAAAATGCCCCAAAGGATCGGGAAGTCGCCAACAACCCGTGACTGTACCTCTGCCTGGATTTCTGGCGAATTGAAGGTTCAGATTTTGAGAAAATGAGTCAGACAGGCAGTGAAAGAAGGAACCAACGACGTTGCGAGTCTGTCTGAAGCAATTGGTGAGAGGTCTGGATGCTTACCTAACATACATCTCGCCCCATGCCAAGCGTTTTAGCGCTGCAGCCTCGTTCGATCGCCCGCCAAAATTTCACACGAACGACAACGGCAGAGAGCTCCATCGTGCACGCCCCTTCAGCCGCAGCTTTTCGACGTCGCGCGCTCGACTTTCAACTCCTGACTTGCGTCTCGCTCCATTCCAAACATCCGTCCATCCATCCAACCCATCTCCATCCTACAAGCCATTTCAGGCGATTAGCCTTGCGGTTCCCGACGACATACCCGACCGACAGCGGCGATTTGACGAACGGGCGCGTGCACGCGACTTCGACCTCGATTTCGGACCGGCACAAACGGCCCATTCAAACACACACTATTTTGCGAATGGGATGAACGCAGCGCCGAGCGGGCAGCAGCACCATGTCGGACGCGGACTTTGAGCAGATCCGGAAGCTCCAGGCCGAGCGCAATGCCGCAGCCGCAGCAAAGAAGGGCTCGAAAACCTTTGACCCAGCCAACCAACGGGCGGACACCTCGACCAAGGCCAAGCTGAGCGAAGCTTGGGACACGGAGCTTTATGAGCGCGGGAACGGAGGCGACAAGTTTGCGGGATATCACCGCTCGCTCCCCGGAGCTGACGACGATGGCGATGAGGAAATGGCTGATGCCGACAACTCGCGTCGTTTGGTTGGCCAGTACACCGCTACCCGTTCCCAGATCGATGAGTTTGCGCGCGGAAATGGCGTCGAGGAGGACGACCCGCTTGCTGGCCGTGGTGAGAAGAGCAACCGTATCACCGACCGCGAAACAGACTATCAGAAGCGCCGATTCGATCGCGTCTTGACGCCAACACGCGCCGATCCTTTTGCTGCTAACCGCCAGGACGGTGCCGCGGGGGAGGGTGAGAGCTACCGCAGCATTATGGAGCGCCGTGACCTGGAGCGAGAGGAAGACCGCGTCCGCCGTGCGATTGAACAAAAGGCGAAAGATGGCCCGATCGAGGAACACCAGCCCACGCTGAAGGACTCCGCGGACAAGGAAAACGAGAACTCAGTGTCTGGTGATGCCGCAGGACGCAAGCGGAAGAAAAGGTGGGACGTGGCCGCCACCGAGAGCGCCGAGCCGGCTGCTCCGGCTGCTGCCGAGCCCAAGAAGAGATCGCGTTGGGATCAAGCGCCTTCGATCCCAGTTGTCGGAGCACCAGGGGCAGAACCGAAGAAGCGGTCCAGGTGGGATCAGGCTCCGTCGGCTACGCCGGTTGGGAACGTTGGGTTGGCAACACCAATGCATCCATCTCAAGCCCCAGTATTGCCCACCGCCTTTGGCACAGATGCTTCCGCCCGATACATGCCCCTCAGCGATGAGGAGCTTGACGCGATGCTCCCGGGCCCCGAGGAGGGCTATAAGATCCTTGAACCACCACCAGGCTATGCGCCCGTCCGGGCCCCGGCGCACAAATTGGTGTCGGCGCCGACGCCGGCGACGGGGTTCATGATGCAAGACCCCAGCACCGCACGGCTGGCGGGTCAACATGTGCCCAAAGAGATCCCTGGTGTTGGCGATTTGCAATTCTTCAAGGCCGAAGACATGGCCTATTTCGGCAAGCTTACGGATGGGTCCAAGGAGGACGATCTCAGCGTCGAGGAACTCAAGGAGAGGAAGATCATGCGTCTCTTGTTGAAGGTCAAGAACGGCACGCCTCCCATGAGAAAGACTGCGCTCAGACAGCTTACAGATAACGCACGCAACTTCGGTGCCGGGCCCTTATTCAACCAGATCCTCCCGCTTCTCATGGAGAAGACGCTCGAGGACCAGGAGCGCCATCTGCTGGTCAAGGTCATCGACCGCATCTTGTACAAGCTGGACGACATGGTCCGGCCGTACGTTCACAAGATCCTTGTCGTTATTGAGCCACTGCTCATCGACCAGGACTACTATGCGCGCGTGGAGGGTCGCGAAATCATCTCTAACCTAGCCAAAGCGGCCGGTCTGGCGACCATGATCAGCGTTATGCGGCCCGATATCGATCACGTCGACGAATACGTGCGAAACACCACGGCCAGAGCGTTTGCTGTCGTCGCATCCGCGCTGGGTATCCCGGCCCTTCTCCCTTTCCTCAGGGCCGTTTGCCGTAGCAAGAAGTCATGGCAGGCGCGCCACACCGGTGTCAAGATCGTTCAGCAGATCCCCATTCTCATGGGTTGCGCCGTCCTCCCCCATCTCAAGCAGCTTGTCGACTGCATTGGGCCCAACCTGAACGACGAGCAAACCAAGGTGCGGACGGTGACCAGTTTGGCCATCGCTGCTCTTGCTGAAGCCTCGAACCCCTACGGTATCGAAAGCTTCGACGACATTCTCAACCCGCTATGGACCGGTGCTCGGAAGCAGCGAGGCAAGGGCCTGGCGGGTTTCCTGAAAGCCGTGGGCTACATCATCCCACTGATGGACGAGGACTACGCCAATTACTACACCAGTCAGATCATGGAGATCCTGCTGCGTGAGTTTGCGTCACCCGACGAGGAGATGAAGAAAGTTGTTCTCAAGGTCATCTCCCAATGCGCGGCGACCGACGGTGTCACAGCCGGGTACCTCAAAGAGCACGTCCTAGACGAGTTCTTCAAGAGCTTCTGGGTGCGCCGCATGGCCCTCGACAAGCGCAACTACAGGCAAGTGGTTGAGACCACGGTGGACATTGGCCAGAAGGTCGGTGTCAGCGAGATTCTGGAACGGGTCGTCACCAATCTCAAAGACGAGAGCGAGGCATACCGGAAGATGACGGTCGAGACTGTCGAGAAGGTTGTTGCCTCTCTCGGCGCTGCTGATATTGGCGAGCGGCTGGAGGAGAGGCTCATTGACGGCATCCTGCACGCGTTCCAGGAGCAGAGCGTCGAGGACATTGTGATGCTCAACGGTTTCGGTTCCGTCGTCAACGCTCTCGGCACACGCTGCAAGCCATACCTGCCTCAGATCGTCAGCACGATCCTCTGGCGTCTCAACAACAAGTCGGCCACTGTCCGCCAACAAGCCGCCGATCTCGTCTCGCGTATCGCGATGGTGATGAAGCAATGCGGTGAGGACGCGCTCATGGGCAAACTGGGCATTGTCCTCTACGAATACCTCGGTGAAGAGTACCCAGAGGTGCTAGGCTCGATCCTCGGCGCGCTCCGATCCATCGTCACCGTCGTGGGCATCAGCCAGATGCAGCCGCCCATCAAGGACCTGCTCCCACGGCTCACCCCGATTCTCCGCAACCGGCACGAAAAAGTACAGGAGAACACCATCGATCTAGTCGGGCGTATCGCCGACCGCGGGCCGGAAAGCGTCAACGCCCGCGAATGGATGCGTATCTGCTTCGAGCTCCTCGACATGCTCAAAGCACACAAAAAGGGCATCCGCCGCGCAGCCAACAACACCTTCGGCTTCATCGCCAAAGCCATCGGCCCCCAGGACGTGCTCGCAACCCTCCTCAACAACCTCCGCGTCCAAGAACGCCAGTCCCGCGTCAACACCGCCGTCGCCATCGGCATCGTAGCCGAGACCTGCGCCCCCTTCACCGTCCTACCCGCGTTGATGAACGAATACCGCGTGCCCGAACTCAACGTCCAGAACGGCGTGCTCAAGTCCCTCTCCTTCCTCTTCGAATACATCGGCGAGATGGCCAAAGACTACGTCTACGCCGTCACCCCGCTGCTCGAAGACGCCCTCATCGACCGCGACCAGGTCCATCGCCAGACCGCCGCCTCCGTCGTCAAGCACATCGCCCTGGGCGTCGTCGGCCTCGGCTGTGAGGACGCCATGGTCCACTTGCTCAACCTGCTCTACCCGAACTTGTTCGAGACCAGCCCGCACGTTATCGACCGTATTGTGGAGGCCATCGAGGCCGTGCGCATGGCGGTCGGCCCGGGATTGGTGCTGAATTATGTCTGGGCTGGCTTGTTCCATCCGGCGAGAAAGGTGCGCACGCCGTATTGGCGGTTGTATAATGATGCGTATGTGTGGGGGGCTGATGCTATGGTGCCGTATTATCCCAACTTGGTCGAGGAAGGGATTGATCGGGGGGAGTTGGCGGTTGTGCTTTGAGTCAGGGGGGCTGAGGCTGGGGATGGGGCTAAGGGGTTGAGCTAGGTAGGGAGGGCTCAGGCTGTTGTTAATGGAGGGGGCTAGGTTGGTGGTGGGTGTCTAATTCTTTCCTCCCCTTTCTTCTCAAGGGAGTGGGATTGCCAGTGGTGTTGATTAGTTACGTTAGATGATCGATCGTATCGGGTCAGCGGAAAAGTAAATGGGGTTCCATGTAGCATGTAGGGTATGGGCAATGGAAGCATGCAGGCAGGCAATATCAGATGGGTTCCTTTCTATCTTCACTTTCTATTCGCATGAAGTGTAGTTTTGCTGGTGGTTGTAACTTGGTAGTGACTTGATATGTCTTGGGAGTTGTTGAGTTGGGCTTGGATGTGATGTCTCTTGGGCGTGGTAGCTTTGGCTGATGTTTTTTATTGTCTAGGCTGTATGTGTCAATGGTAAATTGTATGCACAGCAATCCCAACGAGTTGATGTGTTCATCATGATTACTCTCAGTACGTCCTCTTCATCCTCGCTCAGCCGACACCCGAGCCGGTCGGGATATCAATCAAGAACAACAACATGGCCCCAGGTCCAAATCTCCCATAAGGCGCCGCCTGGTCAATCTAGCACATGTCATTGTGCAACAACCCCCGAGTCTCAACTCCCACCCTCACAAGACCTACGTAACCCAGCCGAACTAAGACCACGCAACTCCAGCTGTATACTTCGTTACACCACTCCTCCTCTCAGCCCGCGCCCCAACGCTGTGCCATGTCGGACTAACTCTCGGAGAATAAACCAGCGAGTGCTGTGCTTCCCTCCTTACTCCGTACGCGCACAGGTTACGCAGTTCATGTTCTTCTTGTCCCACGCCGGAATAAGCTTCCATGTACCTTGCCTTTGCATCGTGTGTGACGAAACCATTGATGCGGCGAAACAACACGGCATGCCCGGGTCCGGTTCCGTTCCCGCTTCGGCGCTTCCGCTGATTGCTTCCGGGTCTGTGTATGTAGTTGACGAGCTTTGTTTCAAGCTGTTCCGTCTAGTTTCAGGATGTAGGGTACACCAACAAACTCATGACGACGGAGGAGAGAAAGAGAGAAAGAGAGAAGAGATAGATGACTTCTACAAGGGCGTCAAAATTCCTCCATCAATGATTATCCTCCCTCGACAAACAACGCCGGCACTTTTCCCGCTTCCTCATTTTCTCTCCCCATGGATCGGACAACGTTGGATACGACGGGATGTTGCGCTGCCCTCCGGCCCAGGCACTATAACGTGTCCTGGAGATATCCCCATACATCCTCGTGGTGTGGTGGTCTCCCATGTATTGCACTGGGTGGTTGTCGGGGGGGGGGGGTCCTTCGCAAGGCGTGCGTGCGTGCATTCATCCCACGATTCCCACCCCCTGACCACGGACCGTTGAACCATATCCAGGTAGTATTCGGGCCAGCAAAACAACATGGCTTCTCCTTTCACCTTTCATCCATCATGCAGGCACGCACACGCGCACATTCACTACAGACACACACACCGTTGCAAAAAAACACACAGACATCTCGGTGTGTTTTTTCCATCTCACCATCCACGTTGTAGTGTAATCCGTCGCACCCCCTTTATCATATCCCTACTCGCATTCGCATAGCATCCCGCCATTACGGCTTTTCCCAAGACAGTTCCATCCGCATCTGAAGTCCTAGCCATGTTTGGACAGTTGCATAACCAACAGAAGCATGAAGCAGCAGGGAGGATAAAGGGGGAGGGGGGGTGAGAAACCATGGACTCAACCACAGCACAACACAGCACGCAAAGCTGAAAAGAAGCAGCCGGGACAACAACCAGCGATTGTGACTTTTTTTTCTTTCTCAGCCCGAGCTGACGGATCTGATGCGTTGGGTGAGACAGAAGTCTGCGGAGACCTCCAGAAAAGAGTCTCTCAGCAATGCACTGCGCTTCAGCTGAACACTCGCTGGTTTTTCAAGACAATTCCGAATCTCGGTGAATTCCAGCGTGTTCACCAAGGACAACAGGTAGGGGAAAAAAATTGAAAAAAAAAAGCTAGAAAAACCGACTCGGTACTGCACACTGCACACTGCACGCCATTTCGCAAAAGCCCCCAATTGAGCCGGCATATGCCCGTGGTACCTAACCGGGGTCAGGATAAACGCTCTCCGGGCCGTCCTGGCTGTTTTTTCCTCTTCTGGGAACCCCGTCGTGGTGTTGCCCCCCCCC